GTTACCAGTCGGCAAACTGTGAACGGATGCTGTCTCAGATGTCTCGTTTGATGATTTGGTTTAGCTATTGCTTTCTTGTATAGGGAACTGTGATTTGATTAGAGGTGAAAATGGAAATGTTTCTTGGATATTAGCTGTGTCTGTTTCTCCAAAGAAGATGAAACTTAAGGAGCGGGAAGGGGTAGGAAAATTTAAACCAAAAATTTCTAATTCCTAAAACCTCAACCTTGTCACTAGGCCAAGGTCTCATTCGCAAAATTCAAAGAATACTTGATTGTTAAAGAAAGGTAAAAAAAAGAAGAAAATCAATGCCGAAAGAAAAAAGAAAGGTGACCGTGAAAGCTTAGATAAAAGGGATCCAAAGGGTTAATCACATTTTATCCCCTTAAAGAATACTTCATTTATCAGTTTACCCCATAATATTTAATTTTGCTCACTTAACCCCTTTTAGGATAAAATTACCCTTGCATTATTTTGACTTTTCATTTACCTTGTTTTCCTTTCTTTTATTTCTTTTTCTCTTTCTTCTTTATTTAATTCTTCCTCTTTCCCCTAAAAATCTTCACCTTAATGATTGAAATTAAAAAAAGAGGAATTACAGAGATCTATCTTCTTTTTAAATAATTAAAAAAATATTCAAATCACTTTCCTAAAATACAAGTTTTTTAGCCTTTCAATTCTTTTAATTTTGGATTTTCCTCTTTCCTTTCTAGTTTCTCATTTTATTCTCAAGAAAATATCATAAGATGAAATTGTTTTCCTTTCTTTTATTTCTTTTTCTCTTTCTTCTCTCTTTCATCCTTCCCAATAGAAATTCCATTTCAACGAAAATTTTTATTTTTAGTTTGTAATTGCATATTTTTGGGTGAAAGTTTAAAAGGTATCAAAAACTAATTTTGATTTTTTATATGATGCCACGTGTCACAAATTTCAATTGATGATTATTAATTAGGTCACAATTTCATTTTAAGATATTAATCGAAATCCTGTATGTTAAAAGAGTGTGGTTGAAAGAGTAAGTAGATCCACTTATGGCTCTTGATGCATATTTGAGGAAAGAGCACAGACCATGTGCAAGCAAATTAAAAGAAAAAATAGGTTTAAAAAAAGTGTAAATCTTATATACACTAACTGTGTATACACTATCATCGTTCGATTCATGACATGTGTTTTTCTTTCATTTTTTGTGAAAAGATGGCACTTTGCCTTTTGTTGCAAGGTCATTAGAAGAAATTTTAAAAGCAAACAAAGAAATTAAAATAAACCCCCCCCCCCCCCTTCTCTCCCTCAGAAAGAAGGAAAAAACGACCATGACACTAATAAGGTCTCAATCTAGTAGTTAGGGATAACTTTTTAAGATTTAGAAATTTTGAATTTAAATCCTCCTTCCACTATCTCATTTTTTAAATTTTATCCCTTCCTTATTTTAATTCTTTTTTTTTTTTAAAAAGGTGATCATGAACATAATATAGAAGCTTTGATAAAAGGGTCAAATTTGCACCGAAACAGAAAAGATCGAAATTCAGTAAATTGAATAGCATAATTGAAAGAAAAGCAGATTTTGCTATAGCTCTTGTTACATATGTCCAAGAGTGGTGGTTATTGTTTGTGGTTGTTTGGGGGGGGGGGGGGGGGAGTGGTTATTAGGTTCAGATGAGTTAATCACAACCCAATATATTAATTAGCCCAAACCCGCCTACTAATAAGTCAATTTGGATATGCAATGAATTTTGTATGGGTCTAAATAGGTACTCAGTTAAACCCATTTAATTGGTGAGAAGTAAGTTGATTAGACTCATTCATTTATACCCATTTAAAAATAATTATATATTTACACTCAATTTTTGGCAGATGTTAAATAGATAAATTTGAATTCCCTACCAATCTAATAATAATAAAATGTCGTTATTTCTTGTCAAATAATATGCGAAAAAAAAATAAATACAGTTTCAAAAGAGTCATAAATGGGTATGAGGTAATTGGGTATGCCCATATCTCTTTATTAAATGGATATAAATGGGTTAACTCATTTTTTTACCCATTTATTAAATAGGTATAATTTGGTTGATCCAGTTATACTCGTTACTCATTATGACCCGTTTAAACCCGCTCAAGTCACCCATTTTGATATCTCTAATTAGGCTTGTAAATTTGTGTATTGTGTGTTTTTCTTCTTCTTTCCTTCCGGGAGAAGATTGTACTTTACCTTTTGTTGTGAGGTTAAAAGAGAAAATATAAAAAGTGGCCAAAAAAGTTAAGATTAAACCCCCTATTCCCCTTGATACAAAGTATACATATGTTTATTTAGAATATAACATGATATCCTTCAAAAAAAAAAAAAGGAATATAACATGATAAATTGGCATATTATAACATATTACTTGATATAACTTTTATATATCAATTTATCTTGATATTATAACATGATATAACATATATTATAATTACTTGATATTATAAACCAATTTATCATATTGTAACATAATATAACATTTAAATTTGCTCCTACATTTTGGCATGCATCTGTTAGCCTCTTTCCACAATGTTCAGCTACTAAATGCTGTCATTCATGTACTGATTTCCTTCCTTTCGAAGCCTCTTTTTGTGCCCATTTTGTGATTCGTATCAGTACTTGACAGAAAACTAAAGAGAAGCATATCAATTTGTATCTTTTAAGAAGGAAACAGAATCACTTTTATAAGGAGGATCAATATATATCACCACTATTATGATTTTCTTTTACTTTTCTTACTTGTAATTACTTCCCTGAATATTTGTTACTTTCAATTGCTGCCGATTGCCTAGTCATTATTTAGTATGACAAGTCCTCCTAATTGAAAAGAAAAATAATTCTTGTCAAAGAAGTTGTGGAAATTTTACTTCATCATAAGTGAATTTTATGCCTGGATGCATGCAGATACAAGATAATTTCCGTGTCTATTGGAACCATGAAATTTAAATTCACAAGCATTCGCATCTTAAATTTTAAATTCATAGAAGATAATGGATTTACAATGGCAAAACAAAAAAAAAAACTATTTTTTTTGGGTTAAGAGATTTAAAAGGAAAACTACTTCAAACAATCGGATTGGACCAAAACAATAGTTTAAAACTAAATAAAGTAATAAATAATTAACTCATTTAATTGATCCTTGATTGTTTAACTATAATTTGTGAGAGAACTAAAGAAACGACATGTAAAACATTCGGAGGAAAGACACAAAAACTAGTCATGGTTTGTCATCTTTGTCCACCATTTGACTGTGGAAAAAAGGAAGAAAGTCCATATATTACTAGTCCTGTATGCATGCATTGGGAAAAAGAAACAAAGCTAACAAAGGAAAACAAAAGCCTATGACAAAGGAAACAAATCTACCATATGGGAACATATCCAAAAATTCTGCCAAGGGATTCTCATGATAAACTCTACTTTTGATTTTTGAAAACTTTTAAAAGGTAGTTTTTGTTTACCTTTAATCTCTAAGTTAAACTCATCCAACTTTTTGCAGCTCTACTGCACAAGAAGCAATAACTGACAGCCTCCATTTATGAACATCACATATGTGTGATTGGTATATATACAGAGTTCAAGAAAGCATAATATTTTGGCAGACAGCTCTTGCAGCTATATCTTACGAGGTAAATTTTCAACCCCTTTTCTTTTCTTTTTTTCATAGTAGAATTTAAAGTCTTTCTTGATTGTTATTCGAGGTAGAAGAACTTTTGTTGTTTATTTTTCTTTTCTTTTGATGACTTCAGGCATTAATTGTATGGGACACCCTCGAAATTATAGAATTTTTATTGGGTTCTATAATCATAGGGGATGAGAGGAAAAGATTTCTTTAGCTAAAACGATATAGGATTTGCATAGTTTTATGGTTTTCTTTCTTTCCTTTTTTTTGTTTGTAGTTTATTGTTTGTTTATTTCCGTTGCATGTCATTGACAGGACCGAGTTACTTGATAATTATGATTTTCAATTCTCAACGTATTATTGACATATGCAAGTATGCGGATGCATGGAATTGAAACATTGTGTTTTGTGATTAATTTGTGTTGAAAAATTTTAAGTGAACTATGCTTAGTGATTTTCGATCATGTTTAATTTTAGAAAATGATTTGACATGAAAGTATTTTCGTAAGATTATTTAGATAGGTATAAGGGTATATATTATAATTTCATTTGCTGAATAATAGAATATTTTACGTTTGGCATGAATTGATGAATTTATTTGATGGCTTTTGATAAAACTTCCAACACATATGTGTAAAAGCTTTTTTAATTTTTAAATTTTTTTTTGTTTTGTTAAACATTTTCTCTATATGAGTTGAAACAGAATATACAAGTTGTTGGACCATTGCAGATGGTCTTTTGTTAGAGTGTGAACATATGCTGTACAACTCATAAAATTGCAAGTTATCCCAGTAAAGTTAAGGAAAATGTTATTATTTGGAAAAAGATGGAAAATGGTGATTTTGATTTAATCAAACATCTGTATTCACATGAAGCAATGGTCATGAATCCAAAATCTTGCCTACAATGCCACGAAATATTTACTGATATTCCAAATTTCAAAAGCAGAGAAAGATTAACTTGATCATGCTGCTGATGGAAAAACAGGACAATGCTAATGCTTCTTAATTGTCTCATTTCTCTGTAAGATGCAGAGGTGACACTGGCCTTCCTTTGATTGCAAAATTAAAGTCCCAACCTCCATGAAGCTAAGCTCATTTCTGGTTTTGCGACCACTTAGCTTCTTCATAATTTTGGTGAGACTTCTGAAATTTTGTTTAAACTATATCGTTGATGCCAAAGATAAACTATTTCTTTCTAGTTGCCATATTCTGGACAAAATTGAACTTTGACTTGATTACTGAAACTTCAGGGGTTTCCTTTGCATGAAAAACTTGAATTGTGTAGTATCTTGGAGTCCTGATTAAGGAGCCCCTTTCCCCATTTCTACATCGTTTTCATGTTTTTCCATTGACTTAATTTTGTCAAATGTATATAACTTTTGGAAGATGTTTGTATTTCAACGTGCAGTCTTTCATAGTGCTGCTGCTGCTACCTGCTTTGCTGATTCCTTTATGGATCAATAAGATTAATAGAATCGAAACAGAAGCCAAGTTGAACTCCAACAAGGTCCATCAAGGAATACTATCAGGGATTGAGAATACAGCAAAGTTGTTGTCACCAACAAATCATTCACTTGCATACTTACAAAGATTTTTAAGCTCATCTTTGAAGACAACTGATCCTCCATTTTCAGCAATAGAAACTCGGGTTGATATGCCTTTCTGTCTTTGTATCGTTTTTCACGTGGGATAACATTAATTGTTATAGATACTATAAGTATTCAAATGCTAACATTCTGAAATTTTTCTTTATCTGGTGGTAAACTATATAGGTGGCTCCTACATTATTTTTTGCTTTGTCTACAATTCCACACCTGTCCCAGATTTCATATATTGCCTTGGACGGCTTGTTTTTCTCATATTACATCAGAGGGGATCAACCTTTCGCTGTATATTCCAACACTTCATTTTCCTCCATTCCCCATGCTACTGCGACTAATTATACTTGGTACAATCAACCGGTGAGTCGCGACACAGGGAAGCTTTGCGGAGAAGCAACGAGGACTCCTCCACTCTTAGACTTTAATTCAAGCTGGTTTCTAGAAGTGTTGGAGAGTGGAAATGGATATTCTTCAGTAGGAACTGGCTGGAGTACTGATCAAGATCCTCTATTACTTATGAGTTTTAGCATTGATCAAAGAAGAGCTTTATCGCTAGGCTTTCCTGTTGAACCATTTACTGATTTCTTCTCGAATGACATAAAAGTTTATGGAGGGGCATTTTATCTGGCAACAAATAATGGAACAGTACTCAGTCAAGGGATCCCAAATACTCAAATCGTGAAAGCCGGTAATTCAGTTTCAGTTCAGATATGGAAACCAAATGGTGATCAAATAGGCAAGGTTGGTGATGTTGCATGTCAGTCCAATGACAGCAACCTGACAGCTTCTGTTTTGGAAATATTGGAAATGAAGTATCTCTTTTACTGTTCGCCTCTTGAAATTATTGGAGTGAAATTGGTAAGTTACCTTTCTGCTATGCCTTAACAGAAAAAACAAAGTTTCTTTTCCTAAGGCATCTATTATAATCTTAAATCCTCCAACAGTGTCATAATGCCTTGTATGCTTGGTTGTATGAAGTGCAAGAAAAGTTTGTACATTTTCATACATTTGAAGACAGTAAGTATGAATTTGATGGCTTGAACATCTTCATGTTCATGGCGAGGTAACTGCACTTTGTTCGTATTGTAGGTGTATGTGTTAGCTATACCATACGGGGGACTAGTAAGTTTCTTGCACCAGAATGTCAAATTTGCACTTGTACTCCTCGTGCTAATGGTCCTTGCCATGGCTATCTCCATTTTCACATTCATTTGCTCCTCTGTTAGAGCTGCAAGGAGAGAAATGTATCTTTGTGCTGCACTTATAAAACAATTGGAAGCAACTCAACAGGCTGAAAGGAAAAGTATGAACAAAAGTCTTGCCTTTGCAAGAGCAAGTCATGATGTCCGTGCATCTCTGGCTGCTATTATAGGTTCTATAAGGTTATGTAGTGTAAAAGTAGCTCATGGATCAGATTTGCAGGAAAATTTAACCCAAGCTGAAACTAATGCAGAGGATCTTTTAGGTTAGTCTTGGAGATTTTGTTTTGCATGTTGGCTCAATATATTAGTCATTTCAACTCAATACTAAAGATTTTGTAGGTATGTTGAATTCCATTCTCGACACAAGTAAGATCGAAGCCGGGAAGACACAACTTGAAGAAGAAGAATTTGACTTGCAAGAACTTGTTGAAGATGTGGTTGATTTGTATTATACCGTTGGTTTGAAGAAAGGTATAGATGTGGTATTGGACCCCTGTGATGGATCTGTTGTGAAATGTTCTCATGTTAAAGGTGACAGAGGCAAACTTAAACAAATTTTATGGAACCTATTGAGCAATGCTGTCAAATTTACTTCTGAAGGACATGTCTTGGTTAGAGTTTGGGCTAAAAAACCTAGTTTTGAAAACAAAATACTTTCTGCAAATCAGAAAAATTCAATCAGATGCATGTCATGTTTTCTTTTCCAGACTGATGGTACCAAAGAGGACTTGGAAGTCGTTAACAGAATCCAAGAGGATCCAAGTTGTATGGAATTTGTATTTGAAGTGAGTGATACTGGAAGAGGAATTCCCAAGGAAAAGCGAAATATGGTCTTTGAAAACTACGTTCAAGTCAAAGAGACAGCACTTGGACAGGAGGGAACTGGTTTGGGGCTTGGCATTGTTCAATCTCTGGTATGTAGACTCACTTCACCTCTCTATTTAATCCTCATTAGTCCTTAGACTGTCGTGACATTATGTTTTTGTCCAATGTTAGGTTCGGATTATGGGCGGAGAGATTGCAATCGTGGAAAAGGATCGAGGTGAAAGGGGTACTTGTTTCAGGTTTAACACCTTCTTTACTCCATGCGGGTATGGGACTGATAGCCAAGAACATGATCACGACATGGAGTCACATGGTAGTCAGTATTCAAGTAACTTCCATCAGCAGCCAGGACTGAATACTACAATCCATAGCCCCAAAATAGAGGGATCCCATGTTGTACTCTTCCTCTCTAGTGATGAGAGGAGCAAAATCACAAAGAAATTCATGGAAAGCCAAGGGATAGATGTGTCTGTTGTGAAGCACTATGAATACCTTCCTCAAACTCTCAAAGCGATCAAACAAAAACTGACGAGTTCGTGTCTGAAGCCTAACAACAAATCTGATTTTAAGTCGAGAACTGACCGATCGAGCAGAGTTATGTCTAGTAACTCTTGTTCTGGATTAAAGGACATGCCTCTTAGTGCATTTGATGGAAAGGATTCTCTACCTGCATCAGAGAATATAATAAGTACCAAGAAAACACCAAACTTTGTCTTGATTGTGATTGACACAAGTGCTGGACCATTTCGAGAGATCAGTAGGGCTGTGGCTGAATTTAGAAGAGACCTTTGCAGCACTTGCAATAGGATTGTCTGGATAGATGGGCCAGGAGCTGGCAGCATAAATGTTCAAGGCCTTGAAGAGGATAAACTACCTGCAATGGATGTAATCATCTCCAAGCCACTCCATGGATCACGTTTGTATCAAGTTATTGGACTTCTTCCGGAGTTCGGGGGTATAATGCCAACAGCAAAAATTATGGAAAGAAACAACTACGAGAGTAAAACTGTTTCTGTTGAATCAAGAAGCCTAAGTTATAGGGATCATGCGCAACTTAAATCAAGACATCCTTCATTCCAGAACAAGAAAATACAGGAAATTGGTAGCTCAAAGGGTGAAAAACCATTGCAGGGTAAGAAAGTCTTGGTGGTGGAAGATAATAAAGTTCTACAGAAAGTGGCTACAGTACTCGTTTCTGAGCTTGGTGCAGATACTCACTCGTGCAGAAATGGTGAAGAAGCTCTAGTAATTGTTTGCAAGAATTTGAGGGATAGACGAGAGAGTGGGGCTCGTCAAGCTCTACCTTTTGATTATATATTGATGGACTGTGAGGTAAAAATTCCCTAAATTCTTATCCTTCCATATGTTAAATAAATTCATACATTTGAATGAGAAGACACAATACAACAGAAAAATACAACTATGTTACTGTACTTGCAAATGGTGAAACTATACTTTCCCAATAAATGTGTTCATAGTGGTTTGACCTGTTAAAATATGGTCTTAATTCAGCTCTGCAGCCAAAAAATTTTAACACATTGACTACTTTAAACTAAGAATACTCGACTGAAAGTTTTGCCATGGCTATCATATGAAATCCGCTTTACATTTTTCATTGTTGTTCTGTTTCGATTGAGATGAAAACAAATCTGGTTTCCAGATGCAAGGCATGGATGGATATGAAGCTACTAGATGCATAAGAGAAGAGGAGAAGCAATATGGTGTGCATACCCCAATCATTGCACTAACTGCTCATACGCAAAATGAGGAGAAAACCAAGATGATTGAAGCTGGAATGGATTATTACTTATCCAAACCTTTGAGGAAGGAGCAACTTCTGGATGCTATGTCTCACATCCATGGCAAATGATCTTTAAAGGTTACGCTCATGTCTCAGCAAAATATCCTTTTCAAACTCTGCTATTTCTGTTGATTGATGTTTTGTGTACTTCAATTTGAGGGCTTCTTCTTTTTCACTTCCATTATTTTTTTCTTCAGAAATCGTTTCCAGATCCATGCGTGCTGCACTATCCGAAAAGATATTCCATTTGGATTTTACTTCATACATACCTAGGTGATGTGATCTTTGAATAGCTCATGGGACACTCTGGCTATGACCTTTGAAATTTGTAAAGTTCTGGTATCATGTTGCATTGCACCCTGAAATGCCACCTTTTGGTGAGCAAGAGTACGGGCCTCAATGTAAATATTTCAAGGTATTCTCCTAGCTGGGTTTTTAATTTGATCCGATGAAGCACTCAGAACTGAAACTGCAGCATCAGAAGAGCAAATACAACATATTTTCCTTTCTGTTTCTAGATATGTGAGAATATCTAGCTTTGCATATGCTCCCAATTCCCCTAAATTCTGCTTTGCACTCGAGGACGACTTCAGCAGCTATGTCTAAACTTGCCTGTCACCATTTACCCACATGCTCCCAGAGCAAAATTGGCTTCAACTCTTCAAGTTAACCAAAAAAAAAAAAAAATCTTGTATTAAACTTTTACGAGACTAGTAATGCAGCACGTGCTTTGCACATGAACATGATGTTTTTAGATTTTTTTTTCTTTAAAATTTTTTGAAGGAAAAAACTTTAAAATTTTTAGAAAATTAATTTTTATGAAGGAATAATTGTAATTGAGACAAAAAATATGATATTTAATATTTATATTATTTTGTATTTTCTATGAATTTAATTTTCCCTAAACAATACAAATGCACAAGCAATAAATCATTCCTTGTTTCAAGAGCATTTTTGTCTTTTGTAATAGTATCAATATTTTTGTCTTTTGATTAAATTTAGATGACCTAAATGTTCTTATTTATGCCATTTGAGCTTAAATTTTTATTTTTTTTGAATAATTTGTTGCTCAAGTCATTCTATGAATTGTTTATTAGTTTTAGTGAAATTTTCTAATTATTTTTTTTTGCTAATGGTGAATTGTAAAATGATTTGTAGTGCTATTGTAATTATAATAGTATCTAAATATATTAAAATTCCATTATTCAAATTTAAATAGCTTAACTTTTAAGAGAAATGTTTTGATTTGGTGAAATTTATTTGTATTTCTTATTGATGACATGCTTTATGATTATAGAGTTTATATGATTAAAAATTATAAGATGTTAAAATTATTTATTATGTAATAATCAAATTGAACTTGGATATATTTTTATTCATCTTCGAAGTACTCCTTGAAATTGATATTTTACCAAAAAAAAAATTTTTTGGCTTAATTCACCATAACTCAAAGGGATGTTTCACATTTGTAATTATTATTATGATTGGCATTGATGAATATAATATGCATTAATTGTAGTTTAATACTACCAGTTGTTACATGACTATGATTGATAAAGCTCATTAAATTTAATCTTTAATTCAATTTAAATAAATAAATTCCCAACATAAAACTCTTTGCCTACCTTAGTACTCCATTTCCTCTCTATCTATTACCATATAATATAATAATATAATTCTATTTCTTCCCTTTTATGTAATGCCTAATGTAACCTTACTTATGTGATCCATCTATCTAATCTAATCCAGCAAACTTATAAATGATTTGATTTCAATATGACACAACATCTCCTACTTGAATTCAACTCCCTTCTTATTATCTTTTTTTTTTTTTTTCAATTGGCTTCAAACTAGAAGTCTTTCAATATGACACAACATTTCCTACTTCAATTCAACTGCCTTCTTACTAGTTTTTTTTTTTTGAATTGATTTCAAACTAGAAGTCTAAATGCCTCATAATGTATATGACTATATAGTAATCAGTAGTTTTTATCTCTTAAACGCTTCAAAGTCGAAAATTTTTAAAAACGAAGCAACTAGCAAGAAGAAAAGAGAATATTCCAAAAATTTCAAAAGCATGATTCTCTTGACTTTTCAGATGAATACTAGGAAACAAGACATCTATAAGTTGGGAAGAAACAAAAATAAGTTTTAAAAAAATAGTTGGAGAGGGAGCAAGCCAGTAGATGTATTCAGTAAGTGAAGTGCAACGAACATTATTTTGAATAAATTCTGATTACATTCTTTAAGATAAGTCCTTTTTATTTACATTCTACATTAGTTTCTTAAATTGATGGATTACAAATATTGTATGCAGTTATAAATAATTCAACAATGTTAGCAAAATAGATTCTAAACAATCGAATATAACCAATACTGAGGATCCTAACTAAAATGCCCTTACTTAATCCATCTAATTAATCTAAATCACCGAACTCCTAAATCCTAATCCTATTTCATTATGACATAAGATAACTCCTATTTGATTTGCACTGCATTCTTATTGGTTGCTCTATTCTATTGCCAATTAATTACTACTCTAAATTACCCGTCACAAACAATCAGGTAGATACAATTTAATCCCATAACAGTTGAGAATAGTTTTAAAGTTTTAATTATTACTGCAATGAAACAACCACAATAACCCATAAATTTTATTTTCGATTTTAGGGCATTTTGTTCTTTTTGGATGATTATACATATCTTTCCAGCTTTTATACAAAGCAAACAACAAAAACACTCCAAAACAAGTATCAAGTACAAAACACTAACCCGCCGTTCTCAGGTGTTACATTTAAAATTTAACTTCACATCACCAGCGTGTATAATTGATACTTGCTTATGGTTAATTTTCTGATTTTTTTTAAGGGAATATGCTCCCATAGTTTTTAATAGTATTGGAAAACTATAATTCTTGGACAATAGAGAGCTATTACATGAACAATTTTAGAAGGTGCACACAGAAAAGTTAAAGGGACTAAAATTGATTTGAGCAATTTCTACATGAACATATTAGGAATATTCATGTTATTTTCAATTGAATTTTTGTAATTATGTTGTTGCTATTATTCCTTCTCATCATGATAAGCTTAAATTCAAAAGGTGTAATAGAAAACTAAAAAGATGATTAAAATTAATCTAAGCCATTACTGCATGAACATATTAGAAATAGTTGTAGTATTTTAAATTGGAACCATACTAACTTTACATGTTTTTATCTATTTAACTTTGTAAAAAACTTGAAGAGAATTTCTCGGTCTTGATTAAGTAGTATTTTTTTTAGTTACATTATTGCTATTGATCCTTTTTTATCATGATGAATTTTAGGCTTTTTTTTCTTCACTTTATTGTCCTCGACTTCTAAAATTTTGAACAAAAATGCTCTATGTTTTTAGACTTGAAAGTTTAATTGCTCCAAATTTCCTTTTTTAAAGTATTTAAAGAAATGACGTATCTATACAATTTCAATGATTGAAATACTTGGTCATCCTTCAGATGTATACTTATCAATTTAGATACAAGAGTGTAGTCTTATTCTATCAACGGCTGAACTGAATTCAATTGCCTGATCGTTTTTTTGTTCAATTCTACAATTTCTTTCAAATTATAAGAAATTATTAGCCAAAGAAGTTAACGGTCTTGGTTAGTGTTGAGGCTCTATGCCTCATTTGTTGCCCATATTTGAGTTGTTATCACTTTAGGTAATCTAATTTTAGATTGGATCTCTATTGATTTTGCTGAAATAGTTGAGAAAAATTTCCATTCTTGGTATGATGGTATTTAAAGAAGGATGGAGCTCCTCTTCATAATTCTAATTCCAGAAATCATAACCTAAATTAATCATTCCAAAATGGCTTCTACCCTGCTATCGTCAAGGGTTCTCCGGGTGTATCGTGCTGCCAAGAAAGGTGCCACAAAAGCTAGTAAGACCTATCTCGCCGCCGTGAAGGAAGTTGACAAGAAATACCAACGTCTACTGAATTTTTCGAAGATTAGATCAAAAACGGATTTGGAGGTTGTTATCAAGGTGAAGCGGGCCAATCCGAATTGGGAGGTAAAAGTTAAAGTTCCGACGAAATACAAGGCCAATGGTTGAGATAAGCAGTCAGAACAATGCCTCCGAGCAATCGCTCGTGAGGCTGAAATAGAGTTTGTGTCTAGAAAAGTTAGGGGAGGGTGAGGTTTTAGGAGAATATTAAGGAAATGGGGTTAGGGTATGGGGTAGTAGGGGGTATGGGGTAGGAAGCATCTTCTTGATGCATTTGACGATGATTTCATGTTAATACTTTCTGTCGTGTAAATATGCTATCATTATCAAATGCTTTCCTTTCAAAAAAAAGCATGGGGATGGTGAGAATGACAATCTAAGTTACATTTAGAGTCAAATGCTTATTTTCATATTAAAAAGAAAAATCTGAAAAAGCAATCTTTATGGCAATTAGCATAATTTATAAGTTAAAAGTTAAAAATGCTAAATGATCTGGTTGTCTCAAAACTAAAAAAGATGCAGTCACAAGAAGATGGATTAGTTTAGACATTTGATTTTCTAATAGCGAAGATACTTAAAGTTGCCATTTGAAAATATGGCATAGATATTTTAAACTCCATAAAGTTGGTTACAGATGATGCAATATCTTAACAAGGTATAAGGTCAACCTCTCATTATTTCAACTTTCTACCTTAAATATGTTTCATACATAAAAGCCAGGAAAAACATCTTCACAAATGGAAGGTTAGTAGTTTCTACATTCATCAATAGGAAAAAAAACTATGAAATTGTTTAGAAAATTTTGTTTAATTGACATATATTTGCATATTCATATTGTTTCTCCTATTATAGAAAAATTCCTTTCTTTCAAAGTTGAAACATTTATCGACTACATGGCCTTACATTTCTATCTTGGGTAGGATTTGCAAATTTTAGTTGTGATTGCTATACAAAAAAATTAGAATTTTTTTTGTGATTTTCTTTTTGAACTTGTTAGTTCATTTTGCTAATTTGCTAGATTATTTCAACTTTCTACCTTAAATATGTTTCATACACAAAAGCAAGGAAAAACATCTTCACA